TCATTTCCTAAGACATGAAGGATAAAGTTGGAGCTCTGCTTGCATCTTTCAGAACTTGGATTTCATAAAGAGATAGTAAAACGTTGTCTTTTGGACCTTAGAATATTCAAAGGGTTTTAAAGACATCGTGGCTAACAAATTGCCAATCAATCAATATTTTTTGATGAGCCGAGTATAAATTTCAGTTGCATGAAATATTTCTAATTCTAAGAACAGTTATAAGTGGAAGGGCTAGTGGTCTGTGTTTGGATTCAACACGTGTTTCTGGTCTTGCATTTTCTCTCCTCTGTTGGATCGTTAGCTCTACTATATTTGCTTTAAAATTTTGTAGCTCCTTTTCCCTCTTCTTTCTTTCTTTCTTTCTCTTTGTCTTTTTTTCTCTGTCTTCCTCCCTTCCTTCCTTCCTCCCTCCCTTCCTCCCTCCCTCCCTCTCTCTCTCTCTCTTTCTTTCTTTTTTTCCTCATGTTTGGTGTCAGAACCTCAGTGTGCATAATTAATTAATCCTGATCTCTTATGAATTATTACCACTTCACTGTATATTGCCATTTACCTCACTTCTGTGCATTCAACTACTGTCATCATTAATTTACTTCTTATTTACTTAATGGTTTTACTTTATTTACTATGGTATAAATCCCACAGTAGTATGCTACTCTTTTTGCTTTGTAACAGTCAATTTTCTTTTAAAGAAATGAAGAAAAAAATAAAATATCTTTTTAATATTTGTCCACATATTTACTATTTCCAGTGCCCGATTTTCCACAGGTATTATCCTCCTTGAGCCTGAAGAAACTCATTTAAGTGTTTTTGTAGTGAGGTTGACTGGTGAGAAGTTTTCACAGGTTTTGTTTATGTGAGGATGACAGAGGTTTTTGTTGGTTTGTTTTCTACTCTTTTATTCTCCAGCACTATAAAATTGCTGTATCATTAATCTTCTGCCCAGCTTCATATCTGATGAGAAGCAGTGTCGTCATTTTGTCAGTATTACCCTATGTGTTTTGCGTAGATTTTCTCCCAGTCTGTGCCTTGTCTTTTCGTTTTCTTAACAATGTCTTTCAAACAGCTGACTTAAAAAAATTTTAATGATGTCCCTTTACCAATTTGTTGTATTATAAATCATGCTTTTAGTGTTGTATCTAAGAAATCTTTGCATAACTATCTAAGGCCTCAAAGATTTTTTTTTCGTCCTGTTTTCTTCCAGAAGTTGTATAGTTCTGTGTTTTACATTTAGGTCTAATGATTCATTTTGTGTTAAGTTCCTCAGCGTTTTAAAACAAAGATGTATGTGAGATTGCTGAGTCAAGCTAATGTTTTTCCCACTGTTTTGAGCTACCTCGGTGCATGACGTGAAAGCCCCTGCAATGAACATCACTCTCTACCTAGAACCTGTGATGTTCTTGGAAAAATTTCTCCCAAATTGCAGTCATAGCCAATATATGTGTCTGATTGGAAGATGTGTTCTCTCATTTAGCTCAAAGGTTACAGAGGTCTGAATGAGCTGATTTTCATCATTTCACTCCAAGAATAATCTCACTCATTACCTGGTGAAGTTAGGATTTGAATACCCAACAGAATGTAATGGAGGGCGTGGCTTGGTTTTCTGTAAGAATTAAGGTATTTTGCGTCTTCTCTTTGCTTTCAAAACAGTACGAGAAGACCTAAAATAAAATGTCAGATGATTAAAAGCTTAACACGCATCCAGAAACCTCGAAAGAAAAATAGGTGTGTCCTTATAATTTCATAATTTGCATTCCTCTGCGCTGAACCCAGCTAGTTCCCAAAGATGGGCCTGCCTGAACATCTTGAAGGTCAAAATAACCTAATCCAAGAGACACAGCTGAATTTTATATGAGCTCATTTTACCAAATGTGAAATCTGCTATCTCTTATGTAGAAATATGGAAATGCTAAAACAGGCCTCTCTGATGGTGACTTCAAGGCTGGAAAAAACAAGGGGGGCCAGGGTGGGGAGGTGAGATTAGGCAGTTGCCGGCTCTAGCAGGCTGCATGCCTTCCAGAACTTGCCAGGATTCAAGACCATATGCAAGTCAGATGACGGAAGGAAAGTCAGGGGGGACTGTGATGTGTTACTAAAATAGCTGCTCAGCAAGAAACATTATTTCACTACATATTCTCACTCACACATGTATTCATTCATATTCATTCAATATTCGCTGAGTACTTAGGTTCATGTTAGCCCTTGAAAAAGATAACCATGTACTGTCTCTGTTTTTAAGGAGCTTTACAGACTCATCTGAACATTGAAACTACATCCGAAAAAAAGAAAAAGGAAGGAAGGAAGAAAGAAAGGAAAGGAAGGAAGGAAGGAAAGAAAGAAAGAAGTGGAATTCAAAAGTTGGGAATACAATATATGGCCTCTCAAATGAGTCAAAGATGTTTTGAGTGAGAGAGTTCAAGTAGATATTAATGGAGAAGTGAGTATTTGAAGGGAACCTGAATGAGTGAATAAATGAATAATCTATCCAGAGCTGGTAGGATAACGTGTTCAAAGCCTCGAGGAGAGAGTGAATGAAAATATACAGGTAGGAGAGCCCAGAGAGTGTATGGGGAACCCTGAATTATTCAAATTTTGTTTTATCTAAGATTAAGAAGAAAACCAACAAAGAAGATGAAACAAAATCTGAAAATGTCTATCTGTTCTATTTATAATGTTCTGGGCTGCCTAATGGAATGTAGATGGGCTAGCTCGTTTTCAAGCATTGATATTTTCTAAATATCCAGAAAGATCGTTTAATGGTGTGAGTGGCTTCATAAACGCAGATTGGCTACAATGCAAAAATCAAAGTTTCATCAAAGGTCAACCAGTTTGCGTTAGAGAACGCTTTGCATGGGACCTAGAATATTTAATTGGCAGCTCAGTTGGAATTAACCCTGTGACACTTAATTGTATGTGTCAACTTCACTGGGCCACAGAGTGCTCAGATATTTGGTCCAATGTTATTTGGGGTGTTTTCTGGGAGGGTTTATTTTCTTTGGATGAGATTAACATTTACGTTTGTGGATGAAGTGAAGCAGATTGCCCTCCTCATGTGGGTGTGTGGGTGGGCCTCGTCCAATCAGCTGAAAGCCTGACTGGAACAGCAGTCTGACCTTCCTCCAAGTGAGATAGAATTCTCTGCCTGGAGGCTTTCAAACTATAGCTCTCCCTGCCTGATGACGTTAGCGCGGGGACGTCAGCTCTTCCTGGGTCTGTCCTGGCTGACCTGGGACATCAGCCCTGCAGAGTTTGGACTCACCAGCCTGCATAATTGTGTGAGCCAGTTCCTCGTCGTTTCTTGTAATATATCTCTTTATATGTACAACACACATACATGGGATACATATATCCTATATACGTATGTTGGAATATATATTGTTAATTGGGCTTAGAGTACTTAGAGCCTGTGTACAGGATGTGTATTGATTTGTATAAAGCACAATCCTGTACACATACAGGAATATATATATATATACACACACACACATATACATTATACACATACCCTACCCATAGGGTATTCTGTCGTTCTGGAGAATCCTGAACTAATACAAACCCTGTGGGATTCCTGGTTAACCTATAGAAGCAAAAGTAGAATCTCCATGAGTCCCTTGGTATGAAGAATAGTGTTTAAGAATCCCTGCCATTCTTGCAATCCAGGTAGGAGCTCAGAACCCTACTCCCGCTAGCGATGACCATTTCTTAGCATCAGACAGAGCGACCTGCCAGAGCAGCTGCTGGCTTTCCCAGGGCTGAGGAATGAGCCTGGTCCGCTCGCTCCCCCAGACCGTCTCCATCCCAAGGCCACATCGTTGGTCGCTAAAACGTTCACTGCACTCGCACTGGCAGTGATTTTGTTTCCCTAAAAAGGACCTAGAGTCACAAATACCTGCATGTAGCTCAGCTCTTAAAAATAAGCTAAGTAGCATCCCGCAAAGAGTACATACTTCCTGTTGAAGCATATGGTGAAACCTGCAGTGCACCAAGCCAAGGTGGGGAGAGCCACAGCAGATCCTGGAACCCTGCCACTTATGCCAGAGGAGCTGGCAAAAGAATGAGCATAAAATTTAGTCTAGACCTGGTCAAGCCTTTTTAACTCCTCCAGGAAATGGAGCTTGAAGGGGGGAATTTGGGCTTTTATTTTTCCCTAGTGGGAAGATACTTAGAGATAATTCATACGATACCGGATGATTATGTGTAAAAAAATAATGTTTTTATTTCCCTTCTTTGAACTCCTAGCATTGCTTTTCTCTTTGGAACCCCCAATTCAGCTTTATTTTTCTAAGCACATTCGTTCAACAAGCATTGAGCGCCGCTCGCGTGCCTGCACCGTATAAGGTCCTCTTGCATCACCGCTGAGTTCCTATTGATCCACGTCTTTGCCATCTCCTCCTGCTGCGGGTCCAGACTACATCCCTCTGGTCCCTTGACTATGATCTTACTCATCTCCTTTTCTCTTCTCTGGCTTGAT